GTTAGTTTTATTTTCAGTTGTTTGACCGTTTTCTTATTATGTGCCATTGATAAAGGCTTTACCAAGCCGAAACGTTTGGCTAACAATAAATTTACGGATAATATAAGCAATTATTGAAATCTATAAATCAAATACCTCTCGGCTCTGAGATTCATGCCACTGACGTCTTTCTCAGCTGCTTTTCTGTTATTTGGAAATGCTCTCATTATGATCTTTTTTGCCATGTATGAATGAAATGCCATTAGATCAATCGATAAATAAAATTGTGTTCAAAATAAGCACAACAACATCCTATTCGTACACTAAATTGTGCTAACAACGCGAGAAATGTTATTTTTCACTATCTCTCACTATTCTGACATTTTCCACTCTCAATGAAAAGCGCAAAATCTATTCGATTTCTTTGATCTGAAGGGACGTTACATTGAAAAGCTGGATGTACCGTCGTGGGAAGAGCAGATCGAATTTCTTCAAACAAATCAAAAGTTTGGTGGTAGAGTTGTGTATGGAGACACGGTAAATTAATCTGATCTTTTCTAAGCAACTAAGGGATTAGTCGTTTTTATTTGATGATTAGCGTTGATAGTTTCTGAAAATATTTTCTTCTTGTTTCTTTACTATTATCGTACTTTTTTTCTACATTGACGACTGATTGAAGATTATGTTATCGTTTCTACTTCATTTCACTAATTCAGAGTTCTATATGATATATTTGATGTAAAATGTCTATTCCTTGTTTCGAATTGTCTATCGCGTATTCAGACATTTGAACAATCTAAATTAATTATCAGCATCACAAACCAATTATATCCTACGCCAATTACACTTAAATTTAAGAAAATATATGAGCTGTCTGTATTAAAATCTCAAAAACGTTATGTTAGCATATCGTATGAAACACTGGACCAACTACAACCAAAATTTGATGTTAAAGATATTGAAACAATTCGTCGTGATACCTGTTCAGCTGTTTCTAAAATGTTAGAACGTTTATTAAAATTATTATTTCGTACAAAAGATGTAACAAAAGTGAAACAATACGTTTAATTATAATGTCAAAAAATCTATACTTATTGTATTAATCTAATTGATTTTATATTTATTAAAGAATATCTTGATCAAAAATCGTGTCATTCAACAGTACTGATTCTAGCACTGCGTACTGCTGTATAACGATCAATAAAAAGTCCATTAGCCCAGCCAAATATTGATGAATGTGTATCATTATCGGTTTAAATTTAGAACAACCGAATGGAAATTTAATCGATTGTGTATGGACATTAAATAAAGCATTAACGATCAATTCGAATTTTCAATTAAATTTGAACCATTATGTTAGAAAACAAATATTACCAGCGTTAGATCGAGCATTTCTATCAATCGATGTTAATATATTCAAATAGTTAGAAGATATTTCACACATAGAAACAATATCGATAATTGAAAAATCATAAATTCAAATCAATCATTATTAACAGCTGAAATAAAAGCAAATGAATTAGAATAACAATATTCATTATTACAACGTCTTTGTTTTGCGTATACGGATCACAGAAATGGATGGTTGAATTGTATGACAGCCGATCGTTCCGTTCGATTTAGAATACTTAAAATAACTGAACAAATGAAATAAGCACAAGAAACAAGGATGATTGTTAGTAATTTTTGTACTAATGAAATTGACAATATTGCATCGATTGGATAAGAAGCAACTGATAATTTTGATAAGATCTCTTCGCTTCAATTCTGACATGAAGATAGAGAACTACTAATTTAATAACTGTGACATAATAAATTATTTCTCTCATATAATTTCTGTAAAATTCTCAATCTTAATATTTACAATTTTTTCTGTCTGTTCAATATTTTTTTCACAAATAAATATTTATTTATTTTTTTCTAAATTCAAGGCGACGAATTTGTACAATTAGCGGTAGAGTTATGGATTTCAGTGATTCCTTCGAAGTTGTTGGGATTACCGATGACGCTATTTTAATTAACTGTAGTCCGAATGTCTTTCTTACTGGAAATTATTTTGGTAAAATTGACAGCTGAATATACGAACAATTTTTCTTCTTGCATTTTGACATAGTTAAACGCTTTTACAATGGAATTATCCCGAATATCCTCCCCGTTTTCTTCTTGAAGTATACTTATCTAAGTGTAACTTTTTGATGATCATCATATATCTATTTTTTTGTGCCATCAGCTCTTCCTACTATGGATCGCTAGAAATATAGTTTCTGCACACTCTTCACCAACTTCCATTTGAAGAAGTCACATTACAGCCAGTTTCTAGAGTATGTTGAGTTGTCCATGTAAATAGTTTTTGGAAACTAATGAACGAACCTTTACTAGGATATAAGAATTTTAACAGTATAAAACCGGGGCACTTTAGCCTTTTCAATAAAGTAAATAATCAAATTCTCATATCCAAGTAAAAGTTCATTCATTAGTTTCCAAAAACTATTTACATGGACAACTCAACATACTCTAGAAACTGGCTGTAATGTGATTTCTTCAAATGGAAGTTGGTGAAGAGTGTGCAGAAACTATATTTCTAGCGATCCATAGTAGGAAGAGCTGATGGCACAAAATAACAGATATATAATGATCATCAAAAAGTTACACTTAGATAAGTATACTTAAAGAAGAAAACGATTGGACACCTGCGGCAGTTCCCTCGTTAAAAAAAAAATCGGCTACGCAGTATGTATCTTAGAGAAATGCGCACTAAGATATTTAATTGGAACTTTATTTACCGATCATCTTTAGTGACAGAAGTATTTGTTGTCGAGAGAGAAATTCTATTTATTATCAAATAATTATTTCCGTTCCGTTTTTATCCGTTATTTTCTTCTTAGATCTCTTATTTTATCTCTATAACAATCATATATAAAAACTTGTTTAAAATATCGTGCGTTCGACAACATATGCTTTTGATTATATTCAAAATAGTAGATTAACTAATTAGCACTACAGAATGAATTCATAATCGGTTAGAGTAGATGTCTAATAAAAATAAGTCGATGTTTGATAAAAATAAACAATAAAAAGATTCTTTCTCTTATTCTATTAATATCAGAACCATTCATTAATTTATACAGTTAATTAATTATAAAAATGTGTCTATTATTATACAGTATACATAGACACAAATAAATAGAACCATGTATTCAATATCTATGCACACATTTATTCAAAAATTACGTTAATGCAATACATTATTATATGTTATCAAGTATTTATATCGTATCCTAATACATTGTACACTAAAACATCAGTATAGTCTTCACTAATATCCGTTGACATTTACCAAATTTGTTGAATACCATCTACATAAATAACTATTATATCTTCTCCATGACAAATGTAAAGCAACTTTTGATCAAGTTAAATCTTAGTTTTACTGATATCTCTTCGTTTCTTCTTTTAGACAAAGTTATTTTCTGATTGAATTACATCACTCACGCTAAATGCTTGTTTTTTAACCCCAGGGGTTTAAATGACTATTATTGCATACGTACATACATATCTGTATATATATATATATATATATATATGTGACTAAACGATATAAAAAAATGTAGTAGTGTGTTTTTCTGCTTGTTGAAATAGGCGTCAAATAAATTAGCTTTTGAATGCAAAGGAAAAAAAATAATCGTCAACTGATTTCTTGCGGTATAATTTTGTTTATATTATAAAAGCACTTAGTACATGAACACTTTCCCGTTAAATATTCATTGCCAAAGGCTTCCAATGAAAAGAATTTATTTTAGTACATGTATTGATTTTTTTCCATAAAGGCAACAGATAGCCCGAGTCCGAAAAAGATACTTCAAAAAAAAGAAAAAGAAAAGAAAAGATGAATGGTTCAAGGGATATTATCCTCATTTTAAAGATCCTATAAGAAAAGTATGTATTCATAGATGCATCATCAACTAAGAATTCTGATTTAAGAGAAATAAATGAAACAGGTATACTCAATTTCCTGAATTTTTCTAATAAAATCGTATTTCATCAGTAGACACTATTCTTCCACTCTTGGCTAAGTTTATCAGAATATATAGTCTGCTAATAGACTTTTCTTTTAAATCAGAGAAAAAAAAAAATATTTATATCTTTTTTTTCTTTTTTTTTCTTTTTTTTCGAGAACAAAACATTTTTTTACTTGATAATTATTTTCTTTCGTTTTTTTTATCCATCGGAAAAAAAAGCAGACAACAAATATTTAACCGATTAATGAATAACTTAAGTAGCAGATTTTTATTAGAAAACAAACATTTGTATTGATCGTGTATTGTATTATTTCATTGAAATAAAAAACAAAAATTAATAGAACAAAAAATATTCACTAATATTATCTGTTATCTAATATTTTTCAAAATTGATTTGAATCATTAGTAAAAAACTTAAAAATATTTGCTTATTTTTGATAAACCTTTTTTTTTTGTTAAAAATTTATCAGTAATATTTTAATGTATAAATCGTATTAATCAATAAGATGTAAAATGAAAAATCAAGTATGCTAAAGTAGCGTAATTCATTTTCCTATTATAGCCACAACTCAATATATTTAAGATACATTTTTAGGTTTTCTTCTTCTTCTTCTCCTTTTGTCATAAATAATAGCACTGTGGGCTTTATTTCACGGAAAAAAAGACAAAAGCCTTCTTTTTAAAAAGAATATTTTCTCGACTAAAATGACATGTTTTAACACATATATGTGTCAGACAAAAAAAAATGGCTCGCTTGAGAAATCAATTTTCACAACATTTTTTTTTTTTTTGACTATTGTAATGAGATTTGTAATCACCACGTGATCTTTTATAACTCACACATTATGTTTTCAAAATCTAGTAAACTTACTTCAAAGAATAGACAAATAAAATATAGAAACTATAATATAATTGTTATTATTTGTAAAACTGTTGGACACTTTACTCTAGTTTTTCGTAAATGAGCTGTTTTCTTTTGTTGTCTTATGATGACTATTAGTTATATAAAAAGCATGATGTATTTTAAACAAATATTTCATATAATTGTGTGTCTATTAGTACATAATATAATTATTTTAGTATTTGCATTAAAAATCGATGAAAAAAATTGAAATAAGTTTTTGAACCGTAACCGATTGAAATTGGCAGAAATTGACCCGTATAGTAGTTCGCTATGTCAACTAAACCTTTGATCAGTCAGCAAACGACAAATGGTATAAAATAGTGACATTAATCGATAATTTGATAAAAATGAACAAGAAAAAATAAAATATATATATATATATTGATACAATAAAATTATATTCTTTTATCTATGCTAAGTATAGTCTTGGGAGTTGAAAAAGACATATTCTTTTATCCTTTATTTTTATAGATTGAATAGTTAAAAATATAACTTTACAATTTATTTCATAATAACTAATGGTGAGTGACATTTTAAAACTCGTATAACGAAAGAAACGCGTGCTAGACAACAACAACAAATATAAAAAACAGAAATACTAATCATTTGTTTAAAATAGAAAAATTTTCAAAGAAAAATAGAAGGAAAAAAAAATGTCTAAGTTTAAGAATAATATATTCAACAATCTGGTAATAGACATTTGTTAAATTTTGTGAAAAAGATTTTATTCATTGTTTTTAAATTGATTTAAGACTTTAACAAACGATTTGAGTAGTGATAGGATATAGAAAAATTTTAGAATAATGTTGTACAATTTTGTTTTCTCTATATTAGCAGCAATACCTCTTTTTTTTGGTGAGATTATTTTCTTTATTAGGAGATGAATACAAGTGTACCGATATTCTGTGGTGGGTAACTGACAAGTGTATATTTATGTCGTTTGTATAGAGGCTAATGTACTGTTTGTGTAACATTATTCATTCATTGTTTCCATCATTTTTCTTTCTTTCTTTTCATTCTTTCTTTCTCTGAATATTGAATATGTAAGTTACATCCGTTTGTGATGAAAGAAAAAAAGAATTTGATGAGGAAAACATGAAGTACTTGTTAAAGTGTTTTCACCTTTTATTAAATATCTATTTGAG